GAGAGAGAGAGAGAGAGAGAGAGAGAGAGAGAGAGAGAGAGAGAGAGAGAGAGAGAGAGAGAGAAGGGCGGTGGCGCCTCTTCGGTGATATGTAATCGCCGAAGAGAGGAAGGAGGGAGCGAGCGATGTGTGGATGGTAGGGGAGGAGTGTCTTTGTTGTTGTTATGATTTTTCTCCTGCAAGGCTTTTTTTCATTTCAACGTGGGAGTTGCATTGGATGCAAGTCGTTTTGGAACGTGTGATCGAGAGCCCTTCGCGGTTGGCGTAATGGTCGTGCAGAGCCGATGGCAAGGGTGCGCAGTTCCTCTCCCCGTCGTTTTCTATGGCCCGAAGCCGATGGCAATGCTGCAATGCAAGTCATGGCGAACGCACCTCTGGCATTGGCGTTCTTTGTTTTGTATATTCCTTCTCAACTTCGGATAGAGTGGACAGAGTAAAGCTGCCGTCTTTGATTGATTAGCTTTCGTCTTTTTTTTTACTTTGGTGCAATCCGTGGCTTCGTGTATGCTCGTTGCTCTTTTTCCCACAGCGTTTGAACATACGTTGACCTTTTTACACGTCGGGCTGAAGGCTACTTTTGTTGTTGTTTGGGTTGAAAGTGAGTCGTGATTGGTGAGGGTCATAACCCATAACCCCCCCTTTCTTGGGGGGAAGATGTGAAGAAGGTAAGGAAGAATGGTGGTGTTTTCGAGCTGTTTTTTTTTTTTCCTTCTGATTATTGTAGTGATGGAGGCACACGAGATGGAGGGATGTCCATCAGGGATGCTCTTGAGGTCGGAAATGGGCACATAACCCTACATTGTGTCAGAAAAATGGGCATCTATCTTTGACAATAAGCAACTTGTTTTACTGTTATGAGCATTGCTGCTGCGGCTGACTTGGCGATACTTGGAAATAGTGAGAGAGAGGGAGACGCGAAAGGTCGGTGAGTGCTCTGACAAGCAGCAGGTCAGGTCAGAGGACGGCAACGATGGTCTTTTGAAGATCGGGCGATTGTACTGTGGTCATGCCGACGTCAGTTGAGATCTGTGATCTCGAAACAGTCACAGCTTAAATGTGCAGTGAAGTAGTAGAAACGCGTGGGGAGCTGAGCTATCCCCGCCGCTCATGGCGATGTGAGTAAAGGACGTCGGTAGACCGCTAGATGAAAGATGAAGTACCGGTTCGATCGATCCAACGCAATGCAATCAGTCTTTGTTGTGGGTTCTTGGTGCAGTTGTCGATGGTTCGGGGTCTTTTGCAGACCGAGCGTGTGAGAAAATCGCGATTTCATCTTATCCCGATCTTATATCTGTTATAATGGCGGGAAACAGGCCATCGTATCTGTTATAATGCCGGGAACCAGGCCATCGTATCTGTTATACGGCCGGAAACAGGCCATCGTATCTGTTATATGGCGGGAAACAGGCCATCGTATCTGTTATAATGGCGGGAAACAARCCATCGTATCTGTTATAATGGCGGGAAACARGCCATCGTATCTGTTATACGGGTCGTCTTGCTCTCCTCTTCGTTCCTTTCCCTGTTGTTCTCTTGTCTTTTCTCTTCTTGTCCTTGAGAATGGAACTCTCTTTCCCTCTCTCTCCCTCTCTCTCCCTCTTTCTCCCTCTCTCTCTCCCTCTCTCTCCCTCTCTCTCCCTCTCTCCCTCTCTCTCCCTCTCTCTCCCTCACTCTCGGCCTCTCTCTCGCTCTCCCTCACTCTCTGCCTCTCTCTCCCTCTCTCTCCCTCTCTCTCTCTCTTTCCCTCACTCTGCCTCTCTCTCTCTTCTCTATGCAGATGAAAGTGTTTCTGTTGATTTGTGAAAACTAACATACGCTGTGGTAAGAGGCCCATCTGGGCTGTGGGGGATGCGTACATGCATCTGATGCTTGTCTCATTGTCTTTTGTTCGCCGTCTTTCTTCCCCCACGATTGGGCTATGGCGACACGCTTCTGCACCCTTGCCAGCTCACCGTCTGCCCGCCTTCGCGAGGGATTTGTCTGGAGCGGTAAACTGTGGTGTTGGGGGCGGGTCCCCTCCCTGCTTTGGGTACACGCTGCCTTCTGCTGACTCTGGTCTTCGACTTTGTCCCGGCAAGCAAGGCGTGATGGGCAACTCTTCAGCAGGGCTATGGTGGTGTGTATGATGGGATTGGGCGTCGTTGAGATCGCCTTTTATGTTATTCATAATGAGCTGAAGGCAGTGTGAGGAACTACCCGTCTTCACCGGAACAGAACGCCCGGTCATTATAGCTGTGTTCGGTGCAACATCCAGTTCAGATATGACGATAACTACAGGGCGTACTATTAGGGTGAAGACGGGACCCGATCTGCTCTTCCTCCTGTCTCTGGACAGGCTGCTGGATCTTGTTGCTTGATTGATTGCCTGGTTGGCTGATTGAATACCAAGGTGCAGCCACAGCAATGGTGATTGCATAGAGTGCACGATGAGAGGTCAAGCTACTGCGGGCGGATCGCTTGCGGAGCTGCATGAACTTCTGCCCGCCTGTTCTTGCAAGAGGGACACGGCGTGCTGTATCTGCTCTTCCGGTCTTAACGTTGTTTTACCATAGCGTTAATCAGAGTCTTTCTGCCCCTGTCATTTCTGTGTATAGGCGGCTCGAGGGAGTGTTTGTTCGTGGATGTGTGTTGCGTGTGCGAACGTGCTTGTAGAGAGAGAGAGAGAGAGAGAGAGAGAGAGAGAGAGAGAGAGAGAGAGAGAGAGAGAGAGAGAGAGAGAGAGAGAGAGAGAGAGAGAGATGGGTGTAGCGGGAGGCGATGATGATTATCGTAATTCATATTGATGATGGTGCTGAATCCAGTCTGCGTCCGTGGAGTGCAGGGCGCAGCGTTGGTCTCACGAGCGACAAATGCTGATGATATTTATGTTAATGGTCCATGTAATATGCCGATATTGAATGCCAGTGCTTCTGCAAAGAACAACAGAAAATGATATCCGATGCCCTGGCCGTGGACTAAGTGTTCGAGAGTATAGAGTGAGAGGAGGAACCAGCAGAGGGAGTTCATATTTTGCCGGTGAGGTCGTCCCGAACAGGATGCGCGAATTGGAAACACGGAGAGAGAGAGAGAGAGAGAGAGAGAGAGAGAGAGAGAGAGAGAGAGAGAGAGAGAGAGAGAGAGAGAGAGAGAGAGAGGTGATGAAGCTTTTATAGTCTGAGTGAGGTAGCGCGCCTTTTCCTTAAGGGATTGTGATTGCTCACTGCAGTCTTATGTGTGTTTATTTTTCGAGCTGCCGCCCCTACCGGAGACGGTGAATTCTGGCAGCTTATGTAGGGACTGACTTTGCGGATTGAACTTATGGACAAGGACGGCAAGTGTGGCGACAGATAGGTTGATGGCAAGAGAATGGTAAGTACTTCATTTCTGGCCTTTCTAGTATTGGTCACTTTATTACTGGCCTTTCTAGTATTGGTCACTTTAGTACTGGCCTTTCTGGTATTGGTCACTTTATTACTGGCCTTTCTAGTATTGGTCACTCGTTATGAGGGCGCTGTGAGAGTGTGAATGGCGGCCGATATCGTGTAAAGATCACTGCGGCGAATCCACCGACAGATTTGAGTGGAACCGGCGGTACGCGTGATGTCGGGGAGGGGGAGGAAACGAGAGAGATCACGGAGGATGCTCTGTTGATAAGCGCAGAGGAGCCGTCGAGGAGTCGTCCTGCTTACCGAATGAAGAGGAGTGGTAGGTACCAAGTGTTAGGTAAATGCAATAGGCGCTATACTGTGAATGATGCGGTGCGAGTGCGAGCGCAATGGAGGAGAGGAGAGGAGAGGAGAGGAGAGGAGAGGAAATCAGGGAATCTCATCTGGCCGGTCCACTGCGCTGCTTATGGTATTGGTATTGCCTCACGTTAATTAGGACTTCTTTTTCTTCCTTTTTTTTTTTTTTTTTTTTTAATTTGGTGCTCCGATCTCCGATCTCTGTCTATGTGATGAACTCTTATGATGAGTATGTATGTGACGAATATGTATGCGTACTGCCAGGGATACTTCCGTGATCGTTCGTCTCATCTCTGCTGTCTGCCTGTGGTGGTCCTTCTCTGCGCACCATAATGATCTCTATAGGCCACTAAGGCCCGTCAATTGGAAAATACCCCTCCTGTTCTCCTCTCCGCCCTTCTCCCTCCCTCCCTTCTTTCTGCCGATCCTCCCTCCCTCCGTTTCTTCCT